AATCCAGCCTGAAGACTATTTTTCTACAGCCCAGTAGCTACAAATTGTTTTTACATTTCTACTGGGTGGTTTAAACAACAACAACAAAGAATATGAAAGGGAGAAGTCCAGGCCCTGGAAAACCTAAAATATTTACCATCTGGTCTTTTACAGAAAATGTTTGCCAATGCTTGGCCTAGGAAGGCCACGGTGGCCAGAAACATAGCCTTTATTTGTCAAGATTTCCTGGAGGCCCTTCTGGGAAAACCTGAATGCCTTTGGCTGCTAGAGGTTCATCTCGAAAGTCTTCTCCTGGTTGGTCCAGGTGCTCTGGGTGTGAGAGAGTCCAGTTCACGGGCTGAGGGGTTTAGGCTCCTCCTGCTCCTCTTTGTTGGACCATGCCAGCCTGTTCCAGCCTGCTGGGGCTCCGCATAGTAATGATTCACATGGGAAGAGGCGTTCCAACACACTCCCAGCATCCACCATCCCTAAGCGGCAGGCCTTCAGGGAAGCTGTGGGAGGGTTAGTACAGCACACAGCCCACCAAACACACATCTCCTTCTCCAAGTGGGCCAAGCAGGGACGGAGGAGAAAGGGGACCAGACGCCTGGAGGTCTAGGGCCCCCCCAAGCTCTTCATGCCAAGGGAACTCCTGCTGGAAACCTGCAGTCCACCTAGCCTTGTACTGACCTGGTTCTTTGGGTACCAGCTCCACCTGTCCTGGCAGGAAGCCCCATCAGAGCCCCATTTCGTGGCCAAGGATGTATTCTAAGGGCCCTTATCACCCAGGAACAGAAGCTCAAAAAAGGAGCCAACCCCTTTACAATGTCTTTTATATTCTGAATGTGATTCAATCTAAGTTTTTGAAGTCTTCCAGCTGGCCCATATTTCAAACAGCAACAGACAGAAGCAGTTATTGTATCAGCTCAGAGAAGACATTTTCATAATCAATGATGCTCATTATAGTTGAATACCCGATTCCTGCCAATGCATAATTTAAATAATCACTTCAAAGCAATTTGTTATATAATTATTGAGTCTTACATAATTACAACCCCCTGAAGAAGCAGAAGCAATTTATTTGGTGGGAAGGGGCATTAGACTTGGCTGGCAAAGAGGCTTTCCATAGCTCTGGACACCTGGCCACAGGCAGTATTGATGACAAGATGGGAGGTGACATGGCCCTGTTTGAGGAGTTTCTGGCTATTCTGTTTCTTTGGCTGGAGGGGTCCACTATCAACCTATGCACATTGAGAGATATATTTATTTTTGGAAAAATGTTAGCCTTTGAGGGTAACAAATATTCAATAATAAAAATGAGTTTTATAGTGAAAACATATGATACTCTCTGTAAAAAAAAATAAATATGATTTCTTGATGTAGGCGGTGTCTGACATGAACCTCACTGAAGAGAACACCTTTTTCTTTTTTTTTATTTCCAACTTTTAGTTTTAAGTTCAGGGGTACATTTGCAGGATGTGCAGGTTTGTTACATAGTTAAACGTGTGCCAGGGATGGTAATTAGCTGCACAGATCATCCCATCACCTAAGTACTAAGCCTGGCATCCATTAGCTATTCTTCCTGATGCCCTCCCTCCTCCCACCCCCTATCCCCCAACAGGCCCCAGTGTGTGTTGCTCCCTGCCATGTGTCCATGGAGAACACCTTTTTCTGGGGGTGGTGAATGACAGAGGGTGAGGCAAGACTGGGGCAGCGATAGTGGCACTGAGTGCTTAGCTAAACCAAGGACCCAGCAAAAGGCTCTCGTGGCCTTAAACCAAGAGAAACCCAATTCTTAAAGATCCATATCGAATCCAAAAGATGGTAGCATAGGAAAGATTCTGCTTTCCATCTGCTGAACCATCTATAGTTGTCAAAAGAAAAGCTCAGACGGTCATAGGAGTCAGGGAGATAACACAAGGGAGGGAGGTGAACAGGTACAAGTCTGTAGAAAGTTCTGGGGACTTTGACAAGCTGGATAACTCTTCTCTCTAAAGGGGGAAGCCACTCTTCAGCCCCAACCAATAGTCTCTTATTCAAGAATAAAGGGCCAATGTGGCTTGATCATCTCATTTTTAAATAGAATATAGAAATTCAGATTTTATGGGAAAGATTCCAATTTTTCTATATTGACTCATTTTTATAAACACTGCAGACATGGTTTGGCTGTGTCCACACCCAAATCTCATTTTGAATTATAGCTTCCATAATTCCCAAGTGTTGTGTGACCTGGTGGGAGATAATTGAATCATGGGCACAGTTTCCCCCATACTGTTCTCCTGGTAGGGAATAAGTCTCACAAGATCTGATAGTTTTTATAAAGGGAAATCCCTTTTGCTTGGCTCTCATTTCTCTCTCTTGGCTGCTGCCATGTAAGACATGCCTTTTGCCTTCCACCATGATTATAAAGCCTCCTCAGCCACATGGAACTGAGAGTCCATTAAACCTCTTTTCCTTTATAAATTACCCAGTCTCAGGTATGTCTTTATTAGCAGCATGAAAACAGACTAATACAACTGCACAGGCCAATCAAAATACGCCAGTGGGCCATTCATGTACAGCCTGTCTTGTCTCTCTAATCTCTGAGAGTGTTCTTTGTCAGATGGGAGAGGAAAAAGAGGGGACTGTCACAGGCTGGATTGTCTGGAAGCAGATGCTGGGACAGAATATGAGGTAAGGATGTTTACTATGTATCCATACCTGTGGAAAGAAGGGGGCAGATGCAGGATGGGGCAGAGGGAGAAAGCAAGTGTTGATGTAGGCCTGACAAAGCTCCTGCCAATCTGGCAGGAAGTTTCAGATCAAATATTGCCTGTCAGAGCTGTCCCAAGTGAGGCCAAAGTGGCTGGACTTTTATGACCCGTCTTGTTCAGTCATCTGATACAGGCTGTCCTAGAAAGTTTTGACCTCGAGTGAGGCAGTTCTCAGCAGCTGAGGCCAACCCTGAAGCTGCTGATGCTGGAGGCTGTTTGCTAACCTTTGTTGAAGGAAGATCTGGGCACCTGGACAGAGCATCTCATGTCTACCATAGGTACACATAAATACACAGACACAGGATAACACGACTGGCCAGCTGTGTCACAGAATCACAGGGTCCTTGGTCACCTTCTGAAGGTCATTGAGATGGCCTGGTCTGTCGGAAGGAAACTTGAACAGATGGCCAGGAGGTGCGGGGATGAATCCCAGGACTGACACTTGCTTCTCTTTTTTCTTGTCTTGAAAATATGGGAGGTGACCCCTTGTTTTCACCATTTCTGTAGTGATGATCAGATGCTGGCAATGTTCTTAAGAAAGTTATGAGCACTTCAGAAGAGTCTGTGAAGAACAGTAATACTCTTTTATGTTTTATACCACTTTATTGAGGTATGACTGACATATTAAAAACTGTACATATTTAATGCATACAATTCAATGAGTTTGGGGATAAACATACCCATGAAACCATCAAGGCCAAGAACATATCCATCATCTCCCAAAGTCTCCTCCAATCCCTTTTATTTTTATCCTCGGGTTTGGGGGGCGGTATTTATTTGTGGGTTTTTTTGTTTGTTTTCTGGTAAGAACACTTAATATAAGATCTACTCTTTCAGAAAATTTTAAGTATATAATACTGTATTGTTAGCTATAAGCACTATGCTATAGACCCAGTATAAGCAGAACTTATTTATCTTGCCTAACTGAAACATAATACCCTTTAACCATCACCTCTGATAACCAACATGCTATTCTCTCCTTCTGTGAGTTTGAGTGTTTTAGATTTTACATTTTGTGAGATCATACAGTATTTGTCTTTCTGTTTCTGGTTTATTTCACTGAACATAATACTCTGCAAGTCTATCCATGTTGTTGGAACATAGGAATGCAAAAATCTCTTCTAGATCCTGTTTTTAATTTTTTTGGATATATACTTCTTGTTCTTTTAATAACAGCCATTCTAAGATATAAGGTAATGGTTCATTGTGGTTGTGATATTCATTTCCCTGATAATTAATGATGGTGAGCACATTGTCATATACCTGTTGGCCTTTTGTCTTCCTTGGAGAAATGTCTTTCAGATCATTTGCCCATTTTTAATTTAATTATTTGGTTTTTGTTACATTTTTGCTGTTCTGTTGCATAAATGCCTTCTATATTTTGGATAAAATCCCTTATCAGGTATATGGTTTGCAAATATTTTCTCTCACTTCTTAATTTTGTTAATTGTTTCTTTGGCTACACAGAATTTTTTTAGTTTGATGTAGTACCACTTGTTCATTTTTGCTTTTGTTGTCTGTGCTTTTGGTATCATAGCCAAAAAATCATTGCCAAGAATAATGTCAAAGAGTTTTTTCCTATGAGTTCTTCTGGGAGTTTTACAGTTTCCGGTCTTATATTTAAGTCTTTAATCAATTCTGAGTTGATTTTTGTGTAGGGTGGAAGATAAGGATCCAACTTCCTTTATTTGCATGTGGATATCTAGTTTTCCCAACACCATTTGTTGAAGAGACTATCCTTTCTCCACCGTGTATTCCTAGCACCCTTATAGAAAATTAGGTGACCATATATGTGTGGGTTTATTTCCGGGCTCTCCATTCTATTTCATTAGTTTATGTGTCTGTTTTTATGCCAATACCATACTGCTTTGATTCCTATAATTTTGTAATACAATTTGAAATCAGGAAAGATACTTCTTTTAGATTTTTTTCTTTCAAGATTGCTTTCAGGGTCATAGTTCCATATGAATTTTAAGATTGCTTTTTCTATTTCCATGAAAATGTCACTGAAAGTTTTATAGAGATTACACTGAATCTATAGATTGCTTTGGATAGTATGAACATTTTAGCGTTATTAATTCTTTCAATCCATGAACATAGAATATGTTTCCATTTATTTGTGTCTAATTTCTTTTATCAATGTTGTATAGTTTTTAGAGTAAAGATCTTTTGCTTCCTTGGTTAAATTTATGCTTAGGTATTTTATCTTTTTGATACTATTGTCAATGGAATTGTATTCTAAATTTTTTTTAGATAGTTTATTGTTAGTACATGGAAACACAGCTGATTTTTCCATGTTGATTTTGTATTCTACAACTTTACTGAATTCACTTATGAGTTATAACAGTTTTCAAGTGGAATTGTCGGGTTTTCTATGTATAAAATGATGTCATCTTTGAACAGAGACAATTTAACTTCTTCCTTTCCAATTTAGGTGGTTTTATTTCTTTTTCTTGCCTGATTGCTCTGGCTAGGACTTCCACTACTCTACTGAATAGAAATGGTAAGAGTGGGCACCTTTGTCTTATTACTAATCTTAGGGAAAAATCTTCCGGCTTTTCACCTTTGACTATGATATTAGCTGTGGGCTCATCATGTATGGCCTTTATTTTTTATTTATTTATTTATTTTGAGATGGAGTTTTGCACTTGTTGCCCAGGCTGGAGTGCAATGGCGCAACCTCGGCTCACTGCAACCTCTGCCTCCTGGGTTCAAGCGATTCTCCTGCCTCAGCCTCCCTAGTAGCTAGGATTACAGGCATGCACCACTACGCCCAGCTAATTTTTTGTATTTTTAGTAGAGATGGGATTTCTCCATGTTGTTTAGGCTTGTCTCAAACTCCCGGCCTCAGATGATCTGCCCACCTCCGCCTCCCAAAGTGCAGGGATTACAGGTGTGAGCCACATCGCCCGGCATGTATGGCCTTTATTATGTTGAGGTATATTTTTCTTATACCAAATTTGTTAAGGAATGTTGAATGAAGGAATGTTGAATCTTGTGAAATGCTTTTTCCGCATCTATGAAGATGATCATATGATTTTTATTCTTCATTCTGTTAATATGTTGGATTATATTTATTGATTTGTATAGGTTCAGCCATCCTTGCCTCCCAGGGATAAATCCCACTTGATCATGATGTACGACCCTTTTAATGTGCTACTGAATTTAGTTTGCTAGTATTTTGTTGAGAAGTTTAACATCTATGTTCATCAGGGATGTTGGTCTATAATTTTTTTTTTTCTTGTTGTGTCCGTGTCTGGCTTAGGAATACCTCAGAACGAGTTTGGAAGTTCTCCTTCCTCTTCAATTTATTTTGTAAAAGTTAGAGAAGAATTGGCATTAACCCTTCTTTAAATGTTTGGTAGAACTTACCAGTGAAGCTATCTGGTCCTGGGTCTTTCTTTGCTGGGACTTTTTTTTTTTTTTTTTTTTTTTTTTTTGAGACCGAGTCTCACTCTGTCACCCAGGCTGGAATGTAGTGGCACAATCTCAGCTCACTGCAACCTCTGCCTCCCAGGTTCAAGCGATTCTCCTGCCTCAGCCTCCCAAGTAGCTAGGATTACAGGCTTGTGTCACCATGCCTGGCTAATTTTTGTATTTTTAGTAGAGACGGGGTTTCACTATGTTGGTCAGGCTGGTCTCAAACTCCTGACCTCAGGTGATCCACTCGCCTCGGCCTCCCAAGGTGTTAGGATTTCAGGCATGACCCACTGCTCCCAGACTTTTTGGGATATTTTTAATTACAGATTCAATATCCTTACTCACCACTGGTCTGTCCAGTTTTTCTATTTTTCATGATTTAGTTTTGGCATGTTATGTATTTCTATAATACAAAAAATGATTTATGTGCTACCATTATAGTACAATTTGAACGTCTAAAATATGAAAAGTCAAAATCCAAAATGATCCAAAACCTGAAACTTTTTGAGTGCCAACATGATGCTAAAAGCATATATGTTCGTGGAAATGTATCTGTTTCTTCTAGGTTATGCAATTTGTGGGCATATTAGTGTTCATAGTAGTTTCTTATAATCCTTGGTATTTCTGTGACATCAGTTGTAATACCCTCTTTTCCATTTATAATTTGCTTTGAGTCCTCCCTTTTTTTAATTAGCCTACTTAACGGTTTATCAATTTTGTTTATCTTAAAAACAAAAACAATCAATTTTATTGATCTTTTCTATTTTTTCTAGTCTCTTTTATTTATTTCTGCTCTGATCTTCATTATGTACTTTCTTCTGCTAACTTTAGACTTCGTTTTTTCTTCTTTTTCCAGTTCTTGAGGTGTAAACTATGTTGTTCATTTGAGATCTTCCATTTTTCTTAGTGTAGATGTTTATTGCCATAAGCTTTCCTCTTAGAACTGCTTTTGTTGCATCCAATAAGTTTTGGAGTGTGATGTTTCACCTGTCCCTAGATATTTTCTTATTTTTATTTTGACTTCTTCTTGGACCCACTGGTTGTTCAAGAGTATGTGGCTTGATTTCCACCTATCTGTAACATTTTCAGCTTTCCTCCTATTATTGATTTCTACTTTTATACCATTGTAATCAGAAAAGATATTTAATATATTTCAATATTCTTAAATTTTCAAAGACTTGTTTTGTAGTCAAACATATAATATGTCCTAGAGAATGCTCCATGTGTTCTTGAGAAGACTGTGTCTTCTGCTACTGTTGGGTGGAATACTCTATATATGTCTGTTGGATTCATTTGATCTACAATATTGTTCAATTCTGCTATTTCCTTATTGATTTTCTGTCTGAAAAAAATCTACCCATTGTTGGAAGTGGGTATCGAAGTTCCCTACCATTATTCTATTGCTGTCTAGTTCTCTCTTCTGTTTTGTTAATGTTTGCTTTAAATATTTAGGTGATCTGATGTTAGGTGCATATATATTTACAAATATTATAACCTCTCAATGAATTGGCCCCCCTTTATTGTAATGTAATGACCTTATCTGTCTCTTGTGACAATTGTTTTACTCAAAGTCTATTTCGTCCGATAGAAGTATAGCCAGGCTTGCTCTCTTTTGGTTATGATTTGAAGGAAATATATTTTTCCATCCCTCCACTTTCAGCCAATGTATCCTTAAAGCTAAAGTGAGTCTCTCCTAGGCAGCATTTAATTGGATCTTGTTTTTCAGTCAATTCAGTCACTCTACCTCTTTTGATGGGAAAATTTAATCCATTGGATTTAAAGTAATTGTTGATAGGTAAGGACTTACTACTGCAATTTTGTTAATTATTTTCTGTTTTGTAGTTCTATTTTGCCTTTCTTCCTCTCTTGTTGTTTTGTTCTGTAGTTTGATTATTTTTTAAAATAGTGGCATGTTTTGATTCCTTTCTCTTTATCTTTTATGTATCTATGACAGGTTTTTCCTTTGTGATTACCATGAGGCTTACATAAAATACCTTATTGTCGTAATAGTACATATATTTTTTCAACTTTTATTTTAGGTTCAGGGCTATATGTGCAGGTTTGTTACATAGGTAAATTGCATGTCATAGGAGTTTGGTATACAGATTAATTTGCATCTAGGTAATAAGCATAGTACCCAATAGGTAGTTTGTTTTTTTTTTATACCCTCCCTCCTCCCGCCCTCCACCCACAGGTAGGCTCTGGTGTCTATTGTTTCCTTCTTTGTGTCCATGTGTATTTAATGTTCAGTTCCCAATAAGTGAGAATACGTGGTATTTGGTTTTCTGTTCCTGTGTTAGTTCACTTAGGATAATCGCCTCTAGCTCCACCCGTATTGCTGCAAAGGACATGACCTCATTTTTTTTATGGCTACATAGTATTCCATGGTATATATATACCACAGTTTCTTTATCCAGTCTGCCATTGATGGGCATTTAGGTTGATTTCATGTCTTTGTTATCGTGAATAGTGCTGTGATGAATACACACAGCATGTGTCTTTATGGTAGAACAATTTATATTTCTTTAGTTATATACCCAATTATGGGATTGCTGGATTGAAGGTAGTTGTGTTTTAAGTTCTTTGAGAAATCTCCACACTGCTTCCCACAATGGCAGAACCAATTTACATTCCCACCAGCAGTGTATCAGTGTTCCCTTCTGCTATAAGCAAATTAGTTACTTTGCTTATAGCAAAGTCTAGAACTAGAAATACCATTTGACCCAGCAATCCCATTACTGAGTATACACCCAAAGGATTATGAATCATTATACTATAAAGACACTTGCACACATATGTTTATTGCAGCACTATTCACAATAGCAAAGACTTGGAACCAACCCAAATGCCCATCGATGATAGACTGGATAAAGAAGATGTGGCACATACACACCATGGATTACTATGCAGCCATGAAAAAGAACGAGTTTATGTCCTTTGCAGGGACATGGATGAGGCTGGAAACCATCATTCTCAGCAAACTAACATGAGAACAGAAAACCAATCACTGCATGTTCTCACTCATAAGTGGGAGTTGAACAATGAGACCACATGGACACAGGGAAGGGAACATGACACACCAAGGCCTGTTGGGGGGTGGGGAGCTAGGGGAGGGATAGCATTAGGATAAATACCTAGTGTAGATGACAGGTTAATGGGTGCAGCAAACCACCGTGGCATGTGTATACCTATGTAACAAAACTGCACATTCTGCACTTGTACCCCAGGACTTAAAGTATAATAATAAAAAATAAAAATAAAATTCAAGAAAGTCAGGAAACAACATATACCAGAGAAGATATGGAGAAATAGGAATGCTTTTACACTGTTGGTGGGAGTGTAAATTTGTTCAACCATTGTGGAAGACAGTGTGGTAATTCCCCAAGGATCTAGAACTAGAAATACCATTTGACCCAGCAATCCCATTACCGGGTATATACCCAAAGGATTATAAATCATTACACTATAAAGACACTTGCATACATATGTTTATTGCAGCACTATTCACAAGAGCAAAGACTTGGAACCAACCCAAATGCCCATCAATGTTAGACAGGATAAAGAAAATGTGGCACATACACACCATGAAATACTATGCAGCCATAAAAAAGAATGAGTTTATGTCCTTTGCAGAGACATGGATGAAACTGAAACCATCATTCTCAGCAAACTAACACAAGAACAGAAAACCAAACACTGCATGATCTTACTCATAAGTGGGAGCTGAACACTGAGAACCCATGGACACAGGGAAGGGGAACATCACACACTGGTTCCTGTCAGGGTTTGGGGGGCAAGAGGAGGGATAGCATTAGCATACCTAACGTAAATGACAGATTGGTGGGTGTAGCAAACCACCATGGCACATGTATACCTATGTAACAAACCTGCACAGTCTGCACATGTATCCCAGAACTTAAAGTATAATAAAAAATAAATAAAACAAATACATAAATAAGAATTTTTTTCTGAAATAAAAAAGAAAATAATGTCAGCAATTGAAAGAATTAGAGGAATAACCTCTAAAATCCCTTCTTGCTCTAAACTTCTAGGCTCTAACAAGTTATAGTCCAATTTATTTAAGTCTTATTTCTCAATAAAGTTATAAAAGCTAACATTTGGGCAGGCATGGTGGCTCATGCGTGTAATCCTAGCACTCTGAGAGGCCGAGATGGGAGGATCACTTAAGGCCAGGAGTTCAAGTCCAACCTGGTCAACATATTGAGACCCCATTTCCATTAAAAATAAACTTTAAGAAAAGCTAACATTTGATAGTAATAGAATTTGCTTCATTTCTCAGTTTTTCCCTCTATCTCAGTTATCTATTACTACATAAAAAACAATCCCAAAATTTGCTGGCTTAAAACAACCTTTACATTTTTTCCTATTCCTTCACGATTTTGGGGGCTAGAAATCTGGGCTGGGCTCTTGGGCAGTTTCTCTTCTAGTCCCGCCTGGGGTCACTCATACAGCTGCAGTCATCTGCAAGCTTGACTAGGACTGGAAAACCTAATATGGCCCAAGATACGTGACTCCCATGTCTACAGGCTGATAGTGGCTTCAGCTGGTGGGTCCAGGGGTCCTTAGCTGGGTGGCTCGTCTTTGCTCCATGTGGCCTTATACCATTTAATAAGCTAGATTAGGCTTCGTCACATAGCAGACTGGGGACTTCACATAGCAGCATTTTAAGAAGGCAACAGGGGAATCTATAAAGTCTCTTAAGAATTGGGCTCCAAAGTTATACAACTTCCACTGAATTCTATGGGTAAAAGCAAATCATACGGCCATGCAGAATCAAGGCATAGGATGATATAATAGATATTACCTCTTGATGCAAGGAATAGTAAGGATCACTGAAACTGAACGTAAATTGTTTGCAGCTTATGCTAACATTATCTTTTCACTTATCTCCACAGCCCATTGGTCACCAATATCAACCATTCATTGAAAATCTGCCCTCACAGTGAAAACAAGATGTTCTAACTACAATAACAGAATGTGAGTAAGCATAGTAAAGAAGTTTTTAGAAAACTGGCTTTCCCACACATGAAGTAAAGAAATAAAAATCCAGTCCATTTCTTCACTTATACCACATCTCATTCAGTACCATCACAATGTCTACCAAAGCATTTCAGACAAAACACTAAGGCACTTTGCAACTCTGAAAGCAAAGTCCAAAAAGCTTTGACTACAATATTCCAAACTACTTTTGGCAGTTGAAAAAGGTAAGCTAAGAATGATGCATTAAAGAAAGGCCAGCTAGTAGTCATAGTTCCTGAACAATCCTAAATGTGTTTCAGGTCTCAAGGCCATGTAATTTTTCACAGTTATGCTGGAACATCACATTACAAGTAAGTCGCCTGCAGCCCTGTCATGGAGACTGTCTGATTATTGACCATATTCCCTAAGACCTTATCACTTTACAGTCGCCCAGATATTTGCAAGCAGTAATCTAAGTAGTAAGTCATAGATCAGGTTGCTCAGCAGTCCAGAGATCTGAAACAACACATAAATCAAAATTGACAGGTAATTAGCCAACTTGCTTATACAGTAAAAAAATTTGCCACCAAATCTTCCAACTCAGAGACTGACAGACACCTGATGCTCCTTGATAAGATAGAACCTCGCCTTGACACACAAGTAAATGGGTAGCAAAGGCACTCACATTGTCATCTTTTCATATCATACTGAGCCAACCATGGAAAAAAACATCAGACCCTTCCAGGGAAATCATGCCCAAAATACCTGCAGATTCCTCAGCCCCTTGGGAAGGTACTCGGAAGGAAAAAGGACCTCAGATGCAGTTCAGATGAAATTTACCACTTCCTCAAAATCCACTCAAATCACTACTCAGATGACTTCTCTTTCTAGTATTCAGAATGTGTTCATTTCATTGTTTGAGGAGCACTTCCTTTGGGAGTTAAAATGAATTTTAAGGGTGGCAGGCCAGATGGCTGAATAGGAACAGCTCTGGTCTGCAGCCTCAGTGAGACCAATGCAGACAGCGGGAAATTTCTGCATTTCTAACTGAGGTACCCGGCTCATCTCACTGGGACTGGTTAGACAGTGGGTGCAGCCTATGGAGGGTGAGCAGAAGCAGGGAGGGGGGTCGCCTAACCTGAGAAATGCAAGGGGTCGGAGAACTCCTTCCCCTAGCCAAAGGAAACCGTGAGGGACTGTGCCATGAGGAAAGGTGCAATCTGGACCAGATACTACACTTTTCCCATGGTCTTTGCAACCCACAGACCAGGAGATTCCCTCGGGTGCCTATACCACTAGGGCCCTGGGTTTCAAGCACAAAACTGGGCGGCCATTTGAGCAGACACCTAGCTTGCTGCAGGAGTTTTTTTCATACGCCAGTGGTGCCTGGAAGGCCAGCAAGATGGAACCATTCACTCCCCTGGGAAGGGGGCTGAAGTCAGGGGGCCAAGGGGACCCCACCCCCACAGAGCCCAGCAAGCTAAGATTGACTGGCTTGAAATTCTCACTGCCAGCAAAGCAGTCTGAAGTCAACCTGGGACACTCAGGCTTGGTGGGGGGAGGGGTGTCCACCATTACTGAGGCTTGAGTAGGCAGTTTTCCCCTCACAGTGTAAACAAAGCCCCTGGGAAGTTTGGACTGGGCGGAGCTCACCACAACTGGGCAGAGCCGCGGGAGCCAGACTGTGTCTCTAGATTCCTCCTCTCTGGGCAGGGCATCTCTGAAAGAAACGCAGCAGCCCCAGTCAGGGGCTTTTATATAAAACTCCCATCTCCCTGAAACAGAGCACCTAGGGGAAGGAGTGGCTGTGGGTGCAGCTTCAGCCAACTTAAACGTTCCTGCCTGCTGGCTCTGAAGAGAGCAGTGGATCTCCCAGCACAGCACTCGAGCTCTGCTAAGGGACAGACTGCTTCCTCAAGTGGGTCCCTGACCCCTGTGCCTCCTGACTGGGAGACACCTCCCAGCAGGGGTCAACAGACGCCTCATACAGGAGAGCTCCAGCTGGCATCTGGCAGGTGCCCCTCTGGGGCAAAGCTTCCAGAGGAAGAAACAGAAAGCAATCTTTGCTGTTCTGCAGCCTTTGCTGGTGATACCCAGGCAAACAGGGTCTGGGGTGGACCCCCAGCAAACTCCAGCAGACCTGCAAAGCAGAGGCCTGACTATTAGAAGGAAAACTAACAAAAAAAAAAGGAATAGCATCAACATCAATGAAAAGGATGACCACACCAAAACCCCATTCGAAGGTCACCAACATCAAAGATAAAAGGTAGATAAATCCACAAACATGAGGAAAAACCAGCACAAACAGGCTGAAAATTCCAAAAACCAGATCCTCCTCTAAAGGATCACAACTCCTTGCCAGCAAGGGAACTAAACTAGACAAAGAATGAGTTTGATGAATTGACAGAAGTAGGCTTCAAAAGGTGGGTAATAACAAACTCCTCTGAGTTAAAGGGCAATGTTCTAACCCAATGCAAGGAAGCTAAAAACCTTGAAAAAAGGTTAGAGGAATTGCTAACTAGAGTAAACAGTTTAGAGAAGAACATAAGTGACCTGATGGAGCTGAAAAACATAGCACAAGAACTTTATGAACATACACAAGTATCAGTAGCCAAACTGATAAAGCAGAAGAAAGGATATCAGAGATTGAAGATCAACTTAATGAAATAAAGCATGAAGACGAGATTAGAGAAAAAAGAATGGAAAGGAACGAACAAAGCCTCCAAGAAATATGGGACTATGTGAAAAGACCAAACCTATGTTTTATTGGTGTACCTGAAAGTCACAGGAGAATGGAACCAAGCTGGAAAATGCTGTTCAGGATATTATCCAGGAAAACTTCCCCAACCTAGCAAGACAGACCAACATTCAAATTCAGGAAATACAGAGAACACCACAGAGATACTCCTCAGGAAGAGCAACCCCAAAACACATATTATCAGATTCACCAATGTTGAAATGAAGGAAAGAATGTTAAGGGAAGTTAGAGATAAAAGTTGGGTTATCCACAAAGGGAAGCCCATCAGACTAACAGCAGATCGCTCTGCAGAAACCCTGCAAGCCAGAAGAGTGGGGCCAATATTCAACATTCTTAAAGAAAAGAATTTTCAACCCAGAATTTCACATCCAGCCAAACTAAACTTTATAAGCAAAGGACAAATAAAATCCTTTACAGACAAGCAAATACGGAGGGATTTTTGTCACCACCAGGTCTGCCTTACAAGAGCTCCTGAAGGAAACACTAAATATGGAAAGGAAAAACTGGTACCAGCCACTGCAAAAACATACCAAATTCTAAAGACCATAGACACTAGGAAGAAACTGCATCAACTAACAGGTAAAATAACCAGCTAGCATCATAATGACAGGATCAAATTCACACATAACAATATTAACCATAACGGTAAATGGGCTAAATGCCCCAATTAAAAGACACAGACTGGCAAACTGGATAAAGAGTCAAGACCCATCAGTGTGCTGTATTCAGGAGACCCATCTCACATGCAAAGGCACACATAGACTCAAAATAAAGGGATGGAGGAATATTTGCCAAGCAAATGGAAAGCAACAAAAAAAGGAGAGGTTGCAATCCTAGTCTCTGATAAACACACTTTAAACCAACAAAGATAAAAAAAAAAAGACAAAGAAGGGCATTACATAATGGTAAAGGAATCAATGCAACAAGAAGAGCTAACTATCCTAAATATATATGCACCCAATACAGGAGCACCCAGATTCATAAAGCAAGCTCTTAGAGACCTACATAGAGACTTACACTCCCACACAATAATAGTGGGAGACTTTAATACTCCGCTGTCAATATTAGACAGATTAATGAAACAGAAAATTAACAAAGATATTCAGGACTTGAACTCAGCTCTGGACCAAGCAGATCTAATAGACATCTACAGAACTCTCCACCCCAAATCAACAGAATACACATTCTTCTCAGCAACACATCGCATGTATTCTTAAATTGACCACACAGTTGAAAGTAAAACACTCCTCAGCAAATGCAAAAGAATGGAAATCATAACAAACAGTTTCTCAGACCACAGTGCACTCAAATTAGAACTCAGGATTAAGAAACTCACTCAGCCAGGTGTAGTGGCTCACACCTGTAATCTCAGCACTTTAGGGGGCTGAGGCGGGCAAATCCTGAGGTCAGGAGTTCAAGCCCAGCCTGACCAACATGGTGGAACCTCATCTCTACTAAAAATACAAAAATTAGCTGGGCATGGAGGTGTGCACCTGTAATTCAGCTACTCAGGAGGCTGAGGCAGAAGACTTGCTTGAATCTGGGAGGCACAGGTTGCAGTGACCCAAGATCATGCCACTGCCCTCCAGCCTGGGTGACAGAATGAGACTCAGTCTCAAAAAAAAAAAAAAAAAAGAAAGAAAGAAAGAAAAGAAAAGAAAAAGAAAAAAAAGAAACTCACTCAAAACCGCACAACTACATAGCAACTGAACAACCTGCTCCTGAATGACTACTGGGTAAATAATGAAATTAACACAGAAATAAATAAGTTCTTTGGAACCAATGAGAACAAAGACACAATGTATCAGAATCTCTGGGACACAACTAAAGCAGTGTTTAGATGGAAATTTATGACATTAACTGCCCACAGAAGAAAGTGGGAAAGACCTAAAATCGACACCCTAACATCACAATTAAAAGAACTGGAGAAGCAAGAGCAAACAAATTCAAAAGCTAGCAGAAGACAGAAATAACTAAGGTCAGAGCAGAACTGAAGGAGATAGAGACATGAAAAACCCTTCAAAAAATGAATGAATATAGGAGCTGATTTTTTTTGAAAAGATTAACAAAATACATAGACTGCTAGCCAGACTAATAAAGAAGAAAAGAGAGAAGAATCAAATAGATACAATAAAAAATGACACAGGGGAGATCACCACTGGTCCCACAGAAATACAAACTACCACCAGAGAATATTATAAACACCTCTATGCAAATATAATGGAAATCTAGAAAAAATGGATAAATTCCTGGATACATA